ACGGCCAGCTGTGGTTTGGACTTTGGCCAGCTTCCTCTTTCCCTGCTCGTCTTCCGGTACACATCTGCTTCCAAAAGCAAGTGACTACCTTTGACGGCAAGAGAGAGATGAGAGGTGCTTATGAGGGTTCCTGCTCTGTTGCTGTGGTACGTGCTGTGTCCCCAAATCCCAGCCCCAACAACCCGTCCCCAGGGGCTCTGACAGGCTGTTGAAGGCAAGGAATCAGAGGGCCAGTAGCAGGTTTGGGGGACGCCCCCTTTATCCATAGCTGAGCAAGCACGCCTCTGCCTTCCCCGAAACAGTCTCCCATGATGCTCTTCTCTGACAACCTAGCTGGAAAACCAACCCGGGCCCAGCAGCAAAGGTGAGGCATCCAGCTGCCTGCCACTGAGCCCAAGATGGGGACGTCCACAGCCCATGGCCTCATCCGATTCCCTGCACCACCGGCGGCTGAAAAGCAAGAACAAAGAAGGGGATGGTGACTGGGCCGGCTCTGTGCTGATGTTGGCGTCCATGGGAGCTTCTCTTTAGGACAAGAGAGTCAAATGGACATTCCACACAAGCCCTGACCATGCAGGCACAGGGAGGGCCTCTGCTGGGGAGGGGGGCCCAGCCAACGACATGGGCCACGGGCAGTTACAGATGCGCCACCGCCCCCAAAAAAGCCTGTTAGAGAAAGGGATGCAGACGGTCTCCTCCCTTGCAGCTGAGACCCCAGGAGTACGACTGAACACCGATGGCACAGACCAGCACTCTGGAGGCCCCACGGCTCCCTGGGCTGTTGTGAGTCTCCAAGGAGGAACACATACGAGGTTGAAGAAATGCTGGGCGATTGCCTTGGCAGGTGCAGCCTATTGACTTGGCTTTCCAAGTTACCACACCTGGGGTTGCAGAAAGAATGGCCAGAAGCTCAGAAAAGGAGTTTTCATCATTCTTCATTAGAGTGAAGCAGGGCACTGCAGCCAAATGTGAATGCGTGTGTGCACTTGAAAGCGTGTGCTCTTGGTGATGGAAGCGTTTACAAGATGTTCCATCCTAGGCTAGGACATTGCGGCCAGTAAATAAGCCCACCGTGGTGCATGCTGGGAGACCCGTCACTCGCTCGCCACCTGCCATGACTTTCTCCCTCTTTGTTCCTGTCCACCTGCAGCTCGGTCCCCACGATATCTGTGGCTCTTTCTAAGCGGCACTGCGTGGCGTCTTCTCAACAGACAGACGCCGCCATTCCCATCTCAGCTCGGCTTTCAAGCATCTGAGTGACCTTGGACAGGTCACCTGTGTGCCACCGTATTCTTCGTCCCTTCATTTCCGAGGTGAACAGGAAATGCTGCCCACAGCACTGGCTTCCCAGCTCATCCGAGTGGGAGCGTACTGAAATCTTACCCTGTAAACGATTCCATGCCTTGATTTGGGGGTTCGGCCGATGTTCACCTCTTTGTGCCGGATGTTATTCTGAGACGAAAGGGACCATGCCCAAACCATCATGAAAAACAATTGTCAATTGCTTGCTCTAGAAATCCCTGGGAATGTCATTCCCTTGTCTAAGACCCCAAAGTCGCCTCCAGTGGCCCAGGGCACAGAGTCTCGGGGTGCTGGAGAGATGCAGGGACCACATCCCAGACCACCTGCCTTCTCTTCCAGTCCCCCACCGCATCCCAGCTGCCCAATGTTCTCTCACCCCCGCCCACACCATGCCCCCTTGTGCTCTGACCCTGCGTGCCCCGGGAGCAGGCCACGCCCTCTGGGGCTCTGCCTGCATCCCCCGTTTGCTCAGGTGTCACCCCGCTGCTGAGGGAAGCCACTCGGGTGCAGTTCATAGTATCCCAGGAGGAGGGCGGGGCCTGTCCACGCGGGGCACACGGCAGGTCCCAAATGAATGCTTCCATGGTAGGCACCTGGCGATCGATCCAGAGGCCCCTTCGTGTATCAGGTGGGTCCCTTTCACGCTGCAGAAGGAGTTGTGCAGGCTGAGCCAGGGAGCAGGCTGGAAGCCGGCCTGGGGGAGAGAGAGCCACCTCCTGGGCCAGGGGTCCCCGCACCTCCCGCCTGAGCACAAGCCTTGAACTCGGGCTGACCTCTGCTCGGAGCATCATCCTGGGAAAAGAAACTGCATTTGCATCGATTCCGGGCTCAGCTCAGTTCTCTTTTGGGCCATCCATTGTCCCTTCCTGAAGTGGGGCCCAGGGAGCAGCGCTGCCCCCTTGCTCTCTATGTAAATACGCCTTCCATTTATTGGCCTGCAGCAAAGATGCCGGGGAATTTTGCTCTCTAGGTGAGTGATAAAAAAGAGCAGGCAGCGGATGTGTTCGCCAGCTTATTTACCACAAATCTCTTATTTATGGCCTCATAACCTTGTGATGGCCGGGCGCCCCCCGCCCCCACCTGGTTTGCTTCCCAGGCGGAGAAAGCGCTGAGCTGAGCATCATCCGTCCCAGGCTCCTGGGCTTCTCGTTTCCACAGCTGCAGCCGGGCCCATTGATTTCCCCGCCACGGTGGGGACCGCGCCGAGGTCCCTGGCAGGAATCTTTCTCTCTCTCTCGGCAAAACGCGCTAGGCTTGCTACGGCCTGGCAGGCGGTGTTGGGGGTCCCAGCACTATGGAGGGAGCTGCGGGTGGGGACCGAGAGCTTTCATGGCTCCAGCCTCCCTCTCTGTCTCCAGCTATACGGTGAAGGCTGAGCGCCCTGTTGGCTGCTTTCTGCGGGGGGGCACTTTGCATGAGGAGGCAGCAGGATGCAAGGCAAACTCATTCGCCCCCACCCCACTCCTGAACTACCCCTCAGCCAGGCTCCCAGCCGGCTGGTCTCTTGGAGGCCCCCAGGCTCTGATGATGGAGCCCACGCCTGGCTCCCCCGCCCCAGGCTGCTGCTGCCGCCCTGCCGGTCTCCTGTTTCAGATGGCCAGCTGAGGGTCCTGGAGGGATCTTTCCAAGGAATGCCCTGACCCAGCCGTTCCCCTGCTGAGTTCTCCAAAGGAGACCCTGGGACCCACTTGGCAGCATTTGGGGAAGTCCATAGCGGGGCAGTACAGGGTCTTTTGTGGTTCGGGTTCAGATGCTCCTTGCTCCTGACTGGTTGGAGCTGGACCAAGACAGCTGTCATGTGGGGAAGGGCTTGGTTGTGTGAATCCTGCTGCTGCTGCTTTTTTTTTAAAAAGATTTATTTATTTACTTGAAAGGCAGAGTTAACGGAGAGAGAGGGAGAGACACAGAGAGAGAGATGTTCCATCCACTGGTTCACTCCCCACATGACCCCAACAGTCAGTGCTGAGCCAGGCTGAAGCCAGGAGCCAGGAGCTTCTTCCGGGTCTCCCACACAGGCGCAGGGGCCCAAGCACTTGGGCCATCTTCCACTGCTTTCTCAGGCTATAGCTGGGAGCTGGATCGGAAGTGGAGCAGCCAGGACATGAACTAGTGTCCGTATGGGATGCTGGTGCTGCAGATGTTGGCTTTACCTGCTATGCCACAGTGCTGGCCCTGATCCTGCTTCTACCCTGCGACAAAAGCTCAGAGACCCCTGGGACCTGACGGCAGAGTCACTGAGCAGCAAAACAACACAAGGTTCCATCTTCGGGGCTGAGCAGTAGGAGAACAGGAAGGGACAAGCCACTGATCCCAGTTCCTTCTTTCTGCCTCCCAGAACTCCTGTCCTTACACGGGGACCCCAAGCCAACTAACCCGAGGGCCACAAAACCCACGCCAGCCTCGAGGTCAGTCGTCTGAGAGTATCTCCCAGCTTCCCCGGTCCACCCTGGGGTGCAGCGACTTTATTTCCAGATAAAACACACAACTGTGTCTCTTTGGGTGACAAGGAGAGAGAGAGGTTTTGCAGGGTTCCATACAGGCACCACGGTTAAAGGCTCTCCATTCAGAGACCAAGCTGGCCACCACTGGCAGATTCCATGGCACGTGTCCCCACGCCTGGACAAGCACCCCCACGAGCAGGCCTGTGCGCAGCCAGTCAGTGGATCATCAGAACCGCATCGGGCTTCTGCACCAGAAAGAACGTGCGTGCCACTTTCACTTACGTCACCTGTGCCCCGCTCGCAGCCTCCCCGCCCCCGGCAAGGGGGCCATTTTTACTGCGCATGCCCTAGAATTGGCCCGGTGGGTGCAGGTGCTTCTCCCAGCCTGTCTGCGCCCGGGTCCCTCCTTCCCTCATCTTCCTTTTTGAGCTCTGCACCTCCCCTCCGACTCCCCCCACTTGTTGCCGGGTTCCGGTGCCCCCTCTCCTCCTGGCTCTGCCCCCTGCCCATCTTCCATTGTTCCTTCCTCTCCTGCTGCGCCTGCTCCAGACTTCTCTGTCCCCTCGCCTCTCTCTCCTCTCCTGTTCATCTTGAGCAGCCATCCCTACCTCTCAAGGTCAACAAGCAACTCTGGAGAGATCTGCACTCTGAAGCGCTCCCTCGGCTTTAATTAGGATCCTTTCAGAAACCCTGACCCCAGAGAAAGCGCCGCACTCCGGCTGCCAATTTCCTTCGCTCTATCTCATCACCTCCCTCCTCCACGCCTTGAAGAGCAAAAATCCAATAAAAGAGATTTAGAAGGAGACACGCGGAGGAGGAGAGGACCGAGGACATCCCACCTCCTCTTCTTCGGCTGCACAGATAGGAAAACTGAGCCTTGGAGAGCGACCGGGACACTCCAAGGTCACAGAGCCAGCTGGAGGCAGGGCTGGGCTCAGAAGGCCGGCTCCCCTGGCCAGACCCCATCAGCCGCCCCCGGGGCCGGCCCACACGGGAACACCTCCCAGGCCCAGACTCTGCTGAGCTGACATTTTTCCAGACGCGCCCCAAAGCATCTTGGGAAGAAGCTCCAAAGTCGAAGGAAAACAAACGGTGAACTTGGTAATTGCACACACTCCTATTTTCTTAACAAACCAACTGGATCTCGTTAAGGGAGGCTTCTGAACGGAGACAGAGAGAACCTTGTCGTCACCCGTTAAATATGTCCAATTTCACACACGGTCATGGAGCTCTCCAGCCAGCTGGCTCGCCAAGGAAAAGGAGTGAGTAATTGCATCTTGGCTGTGTCCTGAGCGCGCAGGCATTTCTCACAGGGAAGATGGGGGACCTTGCTGTAATTGTCTAGAGTTGGGGAGCGCCCAGCTCTGGCATCTTCAGCAGACTTTTAATCTAAAACAGAGACCTGGCTGGCTCAGGGAGTGCCATCTGCCTGAAGCCGCGTGGCTTTGTCTTAGCTGAGTCCCATCTCCTCGGTGGTCCTCAGTTTCCCCCAGCGAGAACGCGCATCTCGTCACTCCCCACGGACCAGCCTCTCCAAGGGCCCTTCCAGAGATTAAATGTGCTGTTGCTCAGCCCCACTCCACCCTTGCCAAGATCTTAATTGCATCAGAACGCTGCACAGAGCCTGGTTTCTGTTAGAGCCTCTGCTCTCAGAGCCGTCTTCCAAACCCAGAACCTTCCCGATGCCTTTTAATAAGCCTATACCTTCAAGAAAAATGAAAATTAAAATATTGAACCTCCGAGTGCACTCTGCTCTCCGTAATGAAATGCGCGTGCAGGGCGTGCATCCGGTTCAAGGACTTTACACAAAGTTATCATAACTTAGCAGTCATAAGCTAATAGTCACATGGAATTAATAACAGCAGTGTGGCCATTTAAGCAGGGAGATGGCCCCGTGTCGTGGAACTTTTGCAGCTAAGCCCTCTTGAGTTTCTGTAAGCTAATAGCAATTAGCTCCTGAGTTAATGGCAGCTGCGGTCATAATGAGATTGGAATTGATCATTTAGAAGCAGGCTCCCATAAGCTGGTCTTATGAGGCATTTCAGCTCCCTCTCCTTAAACCTTCCATCACGACCCCATCTTCGTTAAGGCGTTCTGGACCCAGCTCGCGGCTGCGCGGGGCTCCAGGAGGGAAGCCTCCAGGTGGTAGTGCAGCTGCACACCAGGGATGCTGGACCTGTAAAGGGACAGTTCCCACGGGCCCTGCTGCACCCACCTTCCCCTGGGGCGGGGGCAGGGTCCTCCTGAGCAGGCTGTCCCTCGAAGAGTCGGGTTCTCCTGCTCCACCGCTTCTCTGATCTAGCCAGTACCTTAACTCCTCCCACCCCAGCTCCCTCGACTCTGAAGTGGGGAGCACGTTCTCTGCTTCATGGGGTTACAGGGAAAATGCAATCGAGGAATCTGGGTCACAGGTCTTATGTGAGGGGTCTTCAAAAAGTTCACGGAAAATGTGTGGTATGAAAACACTACGCCTGGACTTTGAAGTCTCTTTAAAAATAAACGTTTGCTACAATCCTATTGGCCATGAACTTTTTGTAGTGCCTTGGGATAAAAAAAATGCCTTCCTTGCTGAATCGGTGAACTTGTGCTGTGTGACAAACCACGCCCCCACGTTGGTGGCTTAAAGTAACAATCATTCCACTGGGTTCAGCTCGGAACTGTGCGGGCAGATGGGTGTTTCTGCTGGCCAGCTGAGCCCCTCTGGCACCCTCGTGATCTGTGGCAGTGGGCAGGCGGACTGGTGGCTGCACAGTCTGGGAACACCTCACTTGCGTGCTGGCTGTTGGCAGACTCTCAGCATGAGTCGTGACAGTGTGGGAGACACCTGTCTCACCTGCGGGAGGTCACCATCTTTCCAGCCTACGGCACCTGCTGTTCCTTTCCTTAGTTCAGCTCATCTGTGTACCGAGTCCGGCAGTCAGCGGGTGTCTAGGAAGTGGACGTGGAGTGTGCGAATGAAGGCAGCATAGAGAACAGCCTTCCATGTGCAACACAGGGTCTCCAAGGTGGGGCACCGGTTAGCCAAGACCTCACTGCTTCTGGGTGGAAGAGGCGGAGACGCCTTTTCTGAGCATCCGTTCTCATTTATTCCAAGGCAGGGGTTGGCCTCTACGGCCCTCAATACCACTGTCGGGGGTGATCTGCAAGGTGGTCTGGCCCAGACGCGGTCCTCTGCCCAAGGCTTCTCCCAGCAGAGACGGGGTGGGGAGGGGGTGTCCATGAGGCTCCCCATGTCCTTCTGTCTTTGTCTGTTGCTGGAAACAGTATGCGTGTCAACGCGTAGACAGTGCTTGAGCCAGCTCGGAATTGTCTGGACAAAAGGTGATTAAATTACTCGGGGATCAATTCCAGAGCTGTTTTCCTTTCTTATTTAAAAAGCACACACTGTTGTCCCCTGTGGATAAAAATCAATATAGGAGTAAAACTTGGGCCTCACAGAATCCGCAGCAGAAACCCCAAACAAGCTCCGAGACGCGTGGGGAAACTGAGGCAAGGGCTAAACGCCACCTTCCCTGTTTCAGGTCCTGAAGTCTGCAGAGAGGAGCTGGGGGACTGACCTTCTCCCCACGTGGTGTGGCAGGTGTGTCCGGTGGGGACCTCAGGGCCCACACGTCCTGCACACGCCCCCCCCCCTGCTGTGCCTGCTGGATCAGCTGCAGTCTCCAGGCTGCGTGGCAAGAGGGTAGAACACACCGGCTCTCAGAAGACACGCACCTCACTTCTGCTCACGTTTCGTTGGCTAAATCAAATCAAATGGCCGGGCCTAATGGGGTAGGGAGAAAGAATCTTCCATGGAAAAGACCGGCGAGTATTTTGAACAATAATCTAACACATATGTCCTCTGCCTGGCTCTGCTTGGTGCTGGTGTTTAGTTAAGGGTGTGGGGTTTTCCAGAACTCAACTGCAGTGGAAGGAGAATGAGACCCAGGGGTACGGTGGGGAGGTGGGGGGCCCTCTGGCTCTGGCTCTGTCTGCCTCCGTCTCCAGCAGAGGAAATTCTAACAGGCACTTCCATGAAGCCATTTTCTCAGCAACTCCCGAAGTTTCCAGACATTTCTGCTTGAAGCAGCCCCAAGAATTGCTGGAGGAATGCCAGCAGCCGGAGCCGTCTGGCCTTGTTCTGGAAAATAAAGTGTCCCCTCTTCCAAAGGTCGCGGAGGGCAGGGGGCCATGTGCTGGGGCCGAGCTCCCCCCCACCCAGGACAGGGAGACGCCCCTGAAATTCCGACCCTGAGCCCTACACGACAGGTACCTGAGAGCCCGGGGCCGGAAGGACGATGACCTGTGTCTTGGCTCAGCTGCCCCCACGTAGCAGCCAGGAGCCTTTCCACTGGGCTGCCTGCTCTGCGCGTCGCTGTCCTCCTCCATGCAGGGATGATTTCACCAGACCTCGAAAATGGGAAATTTCTGCAGAAAAGCGGGAAGAAGGAGTTTGCCTCCTGTTCCTGGGGGTCTGACAGAGATGGGGTAGCTCATGTCTTGGGCCGCCCCGTGGCTCGTGAGGGCCCTCAGAGGGGAAAGACTTCACCTCCCAGGATCCCGAAGCATAGACAGGGGCCGGGGAGAGCTGACACTGCAGCCCCCAGGAGGAGCAACATTTTTTTTTAATTTTTTTTTTGACAGGCAGAGTGGACAGTGAGAGAGAGAGAGAGAGAGAGAGAAAGGTCTTCCTTTGCCGTTGGTTCACTCTCCAATGGCCGCTGAGGCTGGCGCGCTGCGGCCAGTGCACCGCGCTGATCCGATGGCAGGAGCCAGGATCCAGGTGCTTTTCCTGGTCTCCCATGGGGTGCAGGGCCCAAGCACTTGGGCCATCCTCCACTGCACTCCCGGGCCACAGCGAGAGCTGGCCTGGAAGAGGGGCAACAGGGACAGAATCCGGCGCCCCGACCGGGACTGGAACCCGGTGTGCCGGCGCCGCAAGGTGGAGGATTAGCCTAGTGAGCTGCGGCGCCAGCCAGGAGCAACATTTTTTAAGATGTATTTTATTTATTTGAAAGGCAGAGTGACAGAGACATGGCAGAAGACAGACACACACACACACACAAGTACACATACACACATGAGAGAGGAGAGAGAGGGGAGAGGAGAGAGAGAGAGAGAGATCGATCTTCCACCCGCTAGTCCACTCCCCAAATGGCTGTAATTACCAGGGCTGGGTCAGACAAAATCCAGGAATCAGGAACTCTATTTAGATCTCGCACGTGGGTGTCAGGGACCCAAGTACATGGGCCGTCTTCTGCTGCTTTCCCCAGTGCACTAGCAGGGAGCTGGGGTGGAAGTGGAGCAGCCGGGACTTGAACTGGCACTCATATGGATGCTGGCAGTGCAAACAGCAGTTTACCAGCTGCACCACAACGCTGGCCCCCAGGCACCGCTTTCTAACAAGGTCAGAATCCTGGGGAGCTAGAACATGAGTTTGCATAGTGAGGGGTGGACACGTAGGGCTTGACATCAGCTTCTCCACGATGCTGTAAATGATGGGAAGCGTGGATGGTGGGACTGAGCACGCAGAGGCCTTACGACGGAGCAATATCCATCAGATGTAGAGGCACAGTAAGAGGGCCTCACGGATGACACTGTGAAAAGCCACGTGTCATTGGGTGGCATGAGCTTTTCCCCTACCCTCACGTGTGTCCCTTCAAAGCTCTTCCCACCTGGCAATTGCAGGAGGCTTAGAAATACGGTTCCTGCCTCAGCTCTCTGGGACTTTCTTGCAGGTCTCCTGGAAATTAAGCACTAACCCCTAGAAGCCAGAACAGCAGGACCAGCACTGTAGCATAGCAGGTTAAACCTGGAGGCACTGGGTCGACACCTGGCTGCTCCACTTCTGATCCAGCTCCCTGCTAATGCCCCTGGGGAGTCAGCAGAAGATGGCCCAAGTGCTTGGGCTCCTGCACCCACGTGGGAGACCTGGAAGAAACTTGGACTCCTGGCTTCAGCCTGGCCCAACCCCAGCTGTTGAGACCATTTGGGGAGTGAACCAGCCGATGGAGGATCTCTCTTTCTCCCTCTTATTGTCTCTGTACCTCTGCCTTTCAAATGAATAAAAATAAATCTTTTTTTTTTTTAATTTTTGACAGGCAGAGTGTGTCGCTCCCCCTCTTCACAGAGGAACGACACAGGACCCTGTGCTGTTCTTTCGTCTGCTCGGCCCTTCCCGGGTTTCCTGCTGGTTCTTCCCGGGTTGGCTACCATCCCTTCCACCTCCGTGGAAGGGCGGTTCCCCCTGCCACATTCCCCAATTCCGCGGGGGAGCGGCACACCGCTGGCCGGCTCTCTCGGGGGCTGCTCAGATGTTCCTCAGGTGTTCCTCTTAGATGTTCCTGGTGCATGTTGTCTCTCTCCTCCTTTATAGTCCTCTTCCACCAATCCCAACTCTGCTACCCACACGCCAAGTACGCTGCTCTCCTCCTATCAGGAGCAGGATCAGCTCCTGTAGGTCATCACTCAAGTTGGCGAGAGGCAGCTGCGTTGAAGCTGTTTACTCCTCTCCCAGCGCCATATTGTGGGAGAGCAGATGCATAGAATAAGTCTTAATTCCAGTAACTTAGTCTAGTCCGAGTTGCTCCCCACAGAGTGGACAGTGAGAGAGAGACAGAGAGAAAGGTCTTCCTTTTGCAGTTGGTTCACCCTCCAATGGCCGCCACGGCCGGCGCACCGCGCTGATCCAAAGGCAGGAGCCAGGTGCTTCTCCTGGTCTCCCATGGGGTGCAGGGCCCAAGCACTTGGGCCATCCTCCACTGCACTCCCTGGCCACAGCAGAGAGCTGGCCTGGAAGAGGGGCAACTGGGACAGAATCCGGCGCCCCGACCGGGACTAGAACCTGGTGTGCCAGCACTGCAAGGCGGAGGATTAGCCTAGTGAGCCATGGCACTGGCCAAAAATAAATCTTAAAAAAAAAAAAAAAAAAAAAAAAAAAAACTAGAAGAAGCCACTTAGGCTCTGGCCAGGCACAGTGAGAGTCGCATGGTGCACCATGGTCCCTGATGGCCAAGGACCCGTGGTGCACAGGTGCATGAGACTCTGGGTGCTTCCCAGGGGTGAGGGGCAGGAGCACCCTCTGGGCATGAGTATAACTGCAGCTAGAGGTGGGAGACATGCGAGAGAGGTGTGAGAGTTGCCTATGCAAACCCAGGCCCGGCACCAAGCCCCGGGCCTGCGCTCCCCGACTCTGCAGCCCAGCGGCCTGGTTGCCAACCTGAGGAGCATCCTTCCAAAGGCCCACGCAGCTCTTCCCTCCAAGGCTGCAGGTGGGAGCCCCCAGGGCTAGAGGGACCGTGAGTGTGGTCCTCCGGTCACTGCCTACTGCTGTCTGAAGGGGCTTCCTGCTGGATTCTGGGGCAGGGGGGAAGAAAGGACGGACTGTACAGTGTGTCTAATCCATGTGGGGCTCATGGCAGGCACACAGGACCGCCCTCTGGTTGGAGCCATCGCAGGGCATGACACGCGGGGGGCCTGGACCGGCACTGAGACCCAGCCTCTGGTCTCCAAGGAGGACCTGATGGTGTCGCTCCACTCATGCTGGTCTGGCCCTCCTTGACTTATCTGCACATTTCTTGCAAACCAGGCGCTGGGTAGGCGTGCTGCCGTGGGTTTTTCTGCTTGGTCCCCACAGGACACCTGCTGAGGGAAGCATTGGGCTTCTATTTTATAGATGAGAAGACTGCGACTCAGGAAAGTAACTGGCTCAGGGTCACTCAAGGATCAACACGTAGTGGCCCTCCCTGTGGTGAGGGGCAAGCCCCCGGGGTCAGGAGGCCCCCAACCTGTTTCTCTGCAGAGTGATCAGGCGAGCACTGTAGACACTCAGGGGCCTGGACCCCAACATGTAGTGGAAGTGACACCCAAGACGTGTCTCTGAGCATCTCCCCAGGGGACGCTGACTCAGCAGATTTCTGGGAATGCCTGTACCACACACCCCTCTGCCAGCGTGGCCAGGCCGGGTCACCGGGCATGGAGCTGCAATGGCACACATGGCCGCTCTCAGGGCAGGGACTGAGGTAGGGAGGGAAAGCCGGACAGCGCGGCTGCTACGGAGAATGTACCTTGCACACTCAGGCAGGAAGAGGAAAAAGGCTTTGCTCCACTCCGGCCTCCCAGCAGCCGTGTGACCTTGAGTAACCTGCTGACTGTGTCTCAGGTTCTCCACCTATACAATCGTTTGAAGTTTGTCTAAGATGGAAACATCTGGACACACTGCCCAGGCCCCAGCACAGGGAGGCGGGCCACGAGCAGCCAGTGAGCAGGGTCACTGGGGAGGAATCGTGTCCTTGGCTCTGAGCCGCCATCCTTGTCGATGTAGCACCTGGGGCCGGCCGTGGTGCAGCGGGTTAAGCCAGAGCCTGCGGCAATGGTGTCCCGTATTGTGGTACTGATTGGAGTCCCAGCTGCTCCGCCTCCAATCCAGCTCCCTGTTAATGCACCTGGGAAGGCCACAGAAGATGGCCCAAGTACTCGGGTCTCTGCACCCACGTGGGAGACCAGGATGGAGTTCCAGCTTCCTGGCTCTGGCCTGGCCCAGCCTCAGCCATTGTGGCCATTTGGGGAGTGAACCAGTGGAGGGAAGACCTCTCTGCCTCTGTGTGTGTGTGTGTGTGTGTGGGTGTGTGTCCTCTCTCTCTCTCACTCTGCCTTTCAAATAAATAAAAAAATAAATCTTAAAACAATATAGCAGCCTCTCTCTTGTACTACCCACAGGCACGGTGCTAAGCACTTTTTAGATACCTGACTGCATTTATCCTCAACCCCTCGGCAGGGGAGGTTTGACCCTCCCCACTTTACAGCAGAGAAAACTGAGGCCCGGCCAGGTAGAGGCGTCCAGCCAAGGTCACCCAGCTGGGGCTCAGCAGAGCAGGGCTGGAGCTGGCAGGCTGTGCACACTGCGTCCAGCGGCTCTGCAGCTTTAGAGGCCTGGCTAATTGTTGACAGTCTTCCTCTCTGAGGATGTGTGCGGCTGATCCCCCCACCCCCGTCTCTCTCTCCCTCCCTCCCTCCCTCCCTCCCTCCCTCGCTCTTGCCTGCCACAAACCGGGAGAAGCAGAGGAACAAAATAAACAGAGATGGATTGGAGCGGAAGGTTTCGAATGCAATCATTTTGCAAAGCTGCTTCCTTCCTTTGCCTTCTCCTGCAAGCCGCCCCTCTTAGAGCTTCAAAGAGAAGCCTGCTCCCGAGCAGGGTCCTTCGCCTGAGCCAAAAGCCATTTATCTGGAATATTAATACACCAGCAGCTGCCGTGCCAGCGCCTGCCGCTCATCACACACCGCGGGCAGCGGCCGCCCCTGGGAACGCTCCGTGAGGCTCCAGGAAGCTAATGGGTCCCCTGTGGAACATTCTACTTACCTTTTGTTTGGCTTTCCCAGCGCTTCCTGCAGATTGCCAGCCAAGCACGTCCCAGACAAGGCCTCTGACCACAGACGCGCACCCGCCTCCCCCTTGCTGGCTGCTCCCCCTGGCCCACGGCCGGCCGATGCTTGGGGACGGAGAATAAGGAGACCCCCTAAGAGCAAACATGCGCACTGCAGATGGTCCTTGACTCAGAGCTATGCCCCGATACAGGCATCGCGCATTTGTAACTAGCTTATGCCACAAACGCACGCACTGTGCACCCAACCTACCGAATGTCACAGGCGAGAGATCGCGCTCGGGAGCTCTAAGAGGGCCAGCCTGCAGAAGAGGGGGAAGGAAAAGGCAGCTTTGCAACACGCTTGCGTTTGAAGCCTTCTGCTCCAATCCGTCTCTCTTGAGTTTGCTCCTCTGCTTCTCCTGATTCGCGGCAGGTGAGAGCTTGGCGTTGCCCGCTTTAAACCGTGAGCAGCCCACGGCAGGGCGTCGCGTGCGCGTGCGAGTATCTAACGCCAGCTCCAGGCAAGGTGAAAATTCAAAACCCAAAGTGTGAAGTGTGCGTCCCCTCTGTGGCATCGTCAGAAGACCACAGACGCCAGCGTGGGAAAAGCTGGGGGCCACCGGAGGTCTAACCCAGGACGAGGCAGGCTGAGGGCTCCCGCCCATCTTCAGGTGTGAGTGCAAGGGCACTGAGCTGAGGGCAGGAGCCTGGGGCCCGTGGTGGCTCATCCACTCCAGTGTTGCCCTGGCCCCCCATCTGCAGACCCTCCCCCTCCACGCGTGCTCCAGATGGAGCTCGCGCCAGTCAGCCCCCTGGGTCTGGGGCTTCTGCATCCATGGGTCAGCAACATTTTTTTTTTGAAAATCGTGTCTGCACTGAACACAGACTTTTTTTGCCTTGTCATTGCTCCCTACACAGCACAGTACTAGCAACCATATATATCCGTGGCATTTGCATTATATTAGGTGTGGTAGGGAATCTAGACAGGAGGATGCGCATGGATTATAGGAAAATGCTGCACTGTTGTTTATCAGAGGCCTGGACAACTGTGGTTCTCAATATCTCCAGAGGGTTCTAGAATCCATCCCCTGTGGATCGTGGAGTGCTGAGCAAACATTGACGTGGGAAGAACGCCAGGCAGAGAGCTGAGGACTTGGGTTCAAACTCTGCCTCTGCCTCCAGGGAACCTGCCTCAAACTGCCGCGGCGTGGGCTGGACGGAGCTCCTCCCCGCAGGTGCTGGGGGCACGACCCCATTGCGGGCACTGGAGGACAGTTGCTGAAGTGGAACGTGGGGTTCCTTCCACTCCCCAAAGCCAGGCAGAACGTTCTGCTTCCTCGCAGCTCCTGGACCAGGAAGGAGTTCGGGGCTCAAAAGCGGTTCCCGTGAGCTGCAATGTAAGGAGGGTGCCAGGGGCCACGTCACAGAGCAGAGCGTCTCCCGGCCGGCCCGGGCGTGCCTCGTGCGCCCCCAGGACAGCGCTTGGTGATGCCCACCAGGGCCCGCGATTCCCTGACAATCGGGGCAGCTGCTCAATGAGGACGGCACCAGTGCACGCTCAGTGGCAATGAACATGCTGCAAGAACAGCCCCAAGTGCTTCCTGCGTTTTCATGCACCTGATGCCTGCGACAGCCTGATGCCATGGGTACCACCTCACACAGACAGCTTCAGACACTCCCCTGTGGCCACGAAGGCACAGAGTCACAGTGGCGGGGACTTAACCCGGACAAGGTGGTGCAAGTTTGTTTCCCACCCAGTGGATCAGCGGTTCTGAAACTTCCACGGGCCCCCGAGTCACCCAGTGAGAGGTTAGAAAGCCACTCCGGGGCCTCACCCACAGGGCTTCTTACTCACCAGGGTTGAGTGGGGCCTGAGAATCGGGATTTCTAGAAAGTTCCCAGCTGCTGCTGGCTTGCAGCCCCCACCTGGAGAGCTCCTGCTTTAGGCTACGCTGCCTCGAAGTTACGGGGAACCGGGACCATGGAAACCTCGTGGCCCCTTGGGGCTCTAGGGTTCCCAGAGGAGTAATCACAGCTCACATATTCCCAAGGTCACTGATAGATGTTGGATGCTGAGCTACCCCGGTTTTCGGCGTTGTGTTCGTGGCACAGTCACTGTAGTCTATGACACGGTCTATTCCTGGGATGGGTGGCCTCGGAGGTCTTCGGTGGGCGCTACAGCCTTAGCTGATGGTGTGAGGTTCACAGACGACCTTCCAGAGGGCCTGCGAGTGAGTTGCACAGGGCACACTCGTCCGCCTTTCAGCAGCCAATGGATCAAACCTAAAGTAAAAACCCTTAGTGCAGGAGGATGTGGGCAAGATAACAGGGGTGTGTGGGTGCAGCACATCCCAGGGGACCCCAGAGAGATGCCCCTGGAACATGAAAGGGGAGGAACCGTGTCTCACCGCCAGGGGACAAAGATGAGCTCCATCGGACAAGTCGGTGAGCGATTGTGCTGCTCCAGGCACTAGTCAGGCACGGGCAGATCAAAGGAGAGTGCAGCGCGATCCCTGGCCTCCGGGCAGCCTCATCACAGCGACAATGAGCGGAGTGTCGCTCCTCATCAGAGATCAAGGACCCGTGTCCACAGTTGCTGCTCTGGGAAGGGAATGGCCCTGCACGTCCACCCCATCACAACCCCTTCTTCGGAACTGGCAAGTGTGGAAGGGCTCGTGGGCAGCAGGGCCCGCAGATCACGAGCCAGCGCCCGAGGCCTGACAGAAGCCCAGTGTCGCCTCCTTGCCGCCAGGCACCGGTGGGGCTTTCGGCAGCGGAAAAAAACCAAGGAAAGATTTGAAGGACAGAGGACCCCGGGAGAGACGGGAAGGCTGGAGACCCCGGCAGAAGGACCATTCCCACCAGCCTGAGTGTTCCAGGGGGACCTGCTGGCCTCCGCGTCCATGAGGAGCTGCCCAGGGGTGGGCGCCTCATGGTTCCTGTGGCCGAGGATGTATTGGGAAGGCAAAGAGGCGTCCCCTGGGTGTGCCAGGGCAAGCTGAAGACTTGCCTGGACCTGATGCACCTGCTTCCAAGTGGACTCACCCCCTCAGCTTGTGGCAGACATCAGGAAACTGTTGTTCTGCCATGTAGAGGACTCCATGGGGCTTCTTCCTGAGGGCCCTCCCGACACGGTGACCGATGCCCCCCGAGCCAGTGAGCCAAGGACGAAGTCCCAATGCCTGTATGGGGTGCTCCCGAATGTCACACTGCTTCTGCACTCTGCTCATGAAATCAAGTCCAGGCCACACACAGGGGGAGGGGAGCAAGACCTGCCTCACAAAAGAAGGCGCATCCAAGAGTTTTTTAACTTAAGCTGAAACCTTTGTTAGGGACTGGTGCTGTGGCATACAGGGTAAAGCTGCCACCTATGGTGCCGGCATCCCATATGGGTGCCGGTTCAAGTCCCGGCTGCTCCACTTTTGATCCAGCTCTCTGGAAAAGCACTGGAACATGGCCCAAGTCCTTGGGCCCCTGCACCTGCGTGGGAGGAAGCTCCAGGTTCCTGGCTTCAGATCGGCACAGCTCTGGCCATTGCTGCCATTTGGGGGAGTGAACCAGCAGATGGAAGACCTCCCTCTCTCTCTCTGCCTCTCCTCTCTCTGTGTAACTCTGATTTTCAAACAAATAAATAAAACTTTAAAAAAAATGAGTGAAGATGAAAGAAAAAGGGAAAAGATGAGAGGATCCCCGCGGCGTGTCCCAGGACCTGAAGTCCTGCCTTCGCTTTGGTAGTAATACTCCCCAGATAGCTCCCTGCTCCACGATTGCTATTGGTGCCGAAAGTGCGTAGTCAGCCAGAAAGAACTCTGACTGCTCAGACTCAATGTTCCCACAAATCAGCACCGGGGAAGAGTGGCAGAGAGCTGCTTCTTTCTTTTTTTTTAAATTTTTTTTATTTTATTTATTTATTTTTTTTGACAGGCAGAGTGGAAAGTGAGAGAGAGAGACAGAGAGAAAGGTCTTCCTTTGCCGTTGGTTCACCCTCCTATGGCCGCCACAGCTGGTGCACTGCACCGGCGCACCACGCTGATCCGATGGCAGGAGCCAGGTGCTTCTCCTGGTCTCCCATGGGGTACAGGGCCCAAGCACTTGGGCCATCCTCCACTGCACTCCCTGGCCACAGCAGAGAGCTGTCCTGGAGAGGGGCAACCGGGACAGAATCCGGCGCCCCGACCGGGACTAGAACCCGGTGTGCCGGCGCCGCTAGGCAGAGGATTAGCCTAGTGAGCCACGGCGCTGGCTAGAGCTGCTTATTTTGCTTCTTTTGACCCCAGCTTCACAGAGCCTGATGACTATTCTCTTCGAACCTCGCTGCTGGGTAATGCACTAGGACTCAGTGCTGGACCCCAAGTGGAAGCTTCCAAGCAGGTGTCATTACGTCTGTCTTGCATGATCCTCTTTTCTCTGCCCCAACAGAGGCGGGAATTGTGGCCGCCTGGAGGAACGCGATATGCTGGCTTTCCGAGTGCAGGTCAGATTTCCACCATTGTAGGCCTGAGATGCGAACTCCTATGATTGAGCATGGCTTCATTTCTAATTTTTCTAGCCCCTTAGAAAGACGTGAAAGCGCCATATCTCGGATGCTATGGTGTGAGTGTGGCAAATCCGCCTGCACACACGCAGACATTCACCCAAGTCGTGCGTTACTGCTCTTAAGGGAGTCGGAACTTAACTGACTGTGGGGTCATTGGAAAGTGATTAGAGTAGAGCAGGTCACTGCCGTGGGGCTCTGTGATTGAACCCTACTGTCTTTATAAGGAGGAGTGGAGAGACCACTCAGACACAGTCAGAGACAGGCACACACTTCCCGTCTCTTGCCACGGGATACTCTCTTCCACCACCTTGGGACTCTGCCAGCAACAAGGCCATTATCAGACAAGGCCCCCAGACCTTGCTTCTCCAGAACCCTGAGCCAAAACGAACCTCTTTTCTTTATAAAGTTAGCCTGTCTCAGGTATTGCATTAGAATAACAGGATACTGATGCATTGGAATGTCGTTACCATCCATAGGGGTGGGCTAGGCAGCTACTGAGTGCCAGACCCTGCAGCAGGCTCTGTGGGCATGCAAGCCAAGTCATTAGGAATGCAGCAGACACGAAGCAAATGCTGTCAGTGGCTCCGTGCTATAAAGAGAAACAAAGGAGGAGAGAGGCCAGAGAGAGTGTAGCTTTAACCCATCAATCCAGGGGCCCCGTCGGTGGAGTCCGTGTGCACATGCCCATCTCTCCGCCTCCAGGGCCTCAGTCCACACCCAGATGGTGTGCAATAGCTGCATAGAAAGGCAGGTGGAGATAAAGAACCAAGGCA